TATTTTTTCTCATTTTAATAATAATAGTAATATTTTAGAGATGAATTAAATTGGGAATTCAGTCATATACAGATCCGTGTAAAAACGATCACACAACTGGTATTCATTTTGTCATATTTTTTACAGTGAATAAAAAATATTTTATTCGCATAAATTACATGATTAATTATTCTATGTTTAATAGAGGCGTTTGTACGTGGAATTGGCAAATGGAATGCCATTACTTGGAGTAAATCCTGATATGCCTAGTTCAGAGAATTTTGCAAATCTGGAGGAGGAACGTATTCATATCGGTGAGAAGGTGTTGAGATCGAATCACGCACCGATTGCGCAAGAATTTCTGAAGCGTGGCGCTCCACGAGCGCTTCGTGGACGCCTTTGGTCTCTCGTGTTGGGATCCATAATAAAAGAAAATGTAAAAAGCATATTTTCCACTTTATAGAACAATTACAATCTGAATATTTCCGTAGGACTTAGAGTACTATGAGGAATTAAAAAATATGGTGCTACAGTATGATATCGTTGTAGATAAATTAATAATAAAGGTAACAGATTTTTTAATAGTTTTTAAAATTATTTTTAAATCATTTTTTAAATCATTCTTTTATCGTAGGATGTGCAATTAACGGCACGGAATGACGATCAATATTTTGTGTTTGAAGATGTCTTGTACAAGACAATGTTATGCTTCTCTCGCGATTCAGAAGTCTTAGCACCAGTTACAACTGATAGAAGCGCAGGTGGACAGGTAATACATGCAGTTTTACAAGGAAAACCAGCCACATTGGAAAACACTCTAGTCTTTCCACCCAGTGGTGTGATTCCATTTCATGGGTTCTCGATGTACGGTATGAAAAATTTGTTGTTTAACCTCATAAATATTATTTTTATTTAAGAAATATTACATTTTTAGCTACACCATTTTGTTACCTATACGATGATCCATGTGCAATGTATTACACTTTTCGTGCGTTTTACTTGCGATACTGGTTTCGATTGCACACCGTGTCTAATCACGAACAAGGTATTGTAGCACTGTGTCTGCTTTTCGAAAGATTACTACAGTGTCACGAACCTTTACTTTGGATTTATTTTAGGAATATTCATATACAACCGTAAGTGATCATTTTTTTATATCCATGATGAAAAAAAAATTAATCAACGTTCGTTTTTAGGGTGAGAGTTGTTTTTAAATGGATCATGAGAGGTTTCAGCGGTCATTTACCGCCAGAACAATTGCTATATCTTTGGGACTTGATTTTGGGTTACGACTCCTTGGAAATAATTCCGCTACTCGCTGTTGCTATTTTGAGCTTTCGGAAGGAGAATTTAATGCAAGTTAATAATCAACAAACTGTCGAGGTAGGAAAATAATTTTATAATCTACAAAATATTGTGTTATTAATTATTTATTTTCAGGCTGTTCTAGCGGATTTGTCTTCTTTAAAAGTCATTCCACTACTGCAATTGGCTTTGTTGAGCGAATAACGCCAAATGACATTAATAGTAGTGAAGATAAAATCAAACGACGAATTCTCCATTTAAATTCGAATTTAAAATTTTAAGTAAGGATAATCCGTTTGCGTTTGCGCGAATTGATACACATCTCTATATCTTACATGATTCACAGATTACTACTACAATAACTCAGAAGAATAACTAATTAAATGTCAATGCGTTATTTCACAAATGATTAGAAAATATGTAATTTAAAGATCACATGAAATCACCGACGTAAACGCTGAAATCATTGCCATTTCTTCTACATATGGTTGGGATGAAGGCTAATACATATTGTCTGTACTCGCAGTTGATTTCAGAACGTAACTGCATATATAGGGTGTCCTGAAAATACGAATGTACATGTGTTCAATAAAAATATTCCACGAATACAATGAATACCTCGACGAAGAATAAAATTGTTGATCTATTACTTTTCCTAAATACTCTTATACTTTTTAATTTAATTCAAACAATTTAGAATTCATAAATATAATTTTAAATGTTACATTTATTTTCCTATTTTACAACGCTCTTTGAGCACAGAATTCATTAGTTTTACTTTTTGACTATTCATTAATGTTACTGTTGTGACTATTAAGAGCATTAAAATGCAATTCGTTAAAAGTGTAATGCCTTTGAACATTCATAGAACAATTCAAATAGGTAGTAAAGACGATTATAAGAGAGATTGATTTTTATGTTCTTATTAAAACAAGTTTACATCGAATCTCAAGTCTTTTATTCCTTATTTTAATGTGACATACGATTTTTTTAAGACACACTGTATGATGCAACTTGTGATCGACAGAGATAGAAGAAGCCCCTTGGAGGGGGACTTTCCTGTTTCCGCCTGTCAGCCGTGGAGATCAGAGACGCCTACTTGCCATCGTCGTTGTGTTTATAGTAGCTGATTGTCTTTGCTAGATTTAATTCTGTGCTAATATTTCCTGAAAAGCGTGCAAGGACACGCCTTACAGCAGCTTGTAAGTAAAACGATCGTTCTATTGAATTTTTTACCGTTCTAGAAATCGTATTTGACTGTCATTGTTATTACTTGCTAGGAGCTACGGCGAATAAGGGTGGGGTGATTCTCACCCCCAAATTATTAGTCATGCACAGCTTTGTACCAGTGTCGAAACCCTCCTGTTAGCGTTATTTTTTGTATACGTTTGTAAAATACCAGTAACTCGTTGCATCGCGAGCATTCAATTAAAAATCGAGGACAAAATAAAAATATCTTGATCTTCATTTTTCTTAAATTTTTTATTTAAAAAAATTGTCGAAAGTTTCATAAAATAGAAAAGTCAAAAGTGAATTATTTATGTGTGACATTATTTTCATCAGATTACATGGTTTAAACAGAAGCTGATCTAGAAGCTGTATTATTTGAAAACGTCAAAATGGCTTGGCGTTTTAAAGCATCTAAATATAAAAATGCAGCTCCAATTGTTCCTAAGCCAGAGGCTTGCATTCGTGACATCTCAGTTGGTTCATATCAAACCTATGGCAATAACATTGCAGCATCTGCTGCATTTATGGCATTTAATGTAGATCATAATGGTATCAATGTGCATTGATTTATTATATGTTTTTTTACTCTAACAATATATGCTACATGTTTTGCTTCTTTTATTAGGATCTAATCTTGCTGTGTTACCACTGGAAGATTGTGGTAGAAAGAGTAAAACTATGCCTTTACTTCATGCTCATGCAGACACAGTTACAGATATGGATTTTTCTCCATTTCATGATGGTATATTGGCCACTGGTTCACAAGATTGTCTTGTAAGTTGCAATTACAAATTCATGAATTTATTGATTAAGTTATTTTGCTACAAATCATCATGTTTGTTAATATAGGTCAAACTATGGCATATCCCAGAAACTGGCTTAGAAGAACCTCTATGTAATCCAGAATGTACATTTTCCCACCGTCAAAGAAGGGTAGAGGTGGTGTGTTGGCATCCATCAGCTGAGCACCTTCTTACAACAGTATCATATACAAATCTGTCTTTGTGGGATGTGATTTCACAGCAAGAACTGTTTTGTAATTAAAATATTATACTTTATTCTAAACAAAGTCATCTCTAAAAGTATTCACAATTTATTTAATGCTACTTTA